TAAACTTCTGACATTGCTTTACCATGGTTAAACTTGGCCTATTCATGACATGCTTTGTGTTTTTTACATATTCATATCTGGATGTATATTGTTGAATTTAACACTGCACATTTGTCTCAAAGCGTAACAACAGACCAGATGTAAAAAAAGAAATAGGCAGTGATTTATTATCCAAAGAGAAACCTTACTCCTTAATTGAAACAGAAATTAATAATGCATTGTCACTCTCCGAGGGCGGCACTGCGTTAGAAGGAGGTGAGGCAATGCAACAAGACTTGGTGGAATATGTTTTATTGGTGCTGCAGTTCACCAATACATGCATATTTTAAAAAAGCATACAGTTTAGCATGATGTCATTAGCTAGATTATGTTATTCATAATCTACTAGTGGGTATTCCTAATAACCATCTGTGAGCATTTTTATGAATCACTTACGAAGTAGACATGAGCCTCTAAATAAATGCTTTTTTCTTCCAAAAATTTGATTGCCATTTAATATGTCCAGAACTTCTGTAAAATATTTTAATCTTTCAGTAAAAAATCTAAACGTAAAAAGGACAATTCAAAAAGTTGTAAAGTGTGGAAGCCAAAATTTCACAGATGCTGAAGGGTATGTTTTATTCACACAGAGAGGAAATTATGCTTAAGGTATCTCCTTAAAAACCATCCATTTTCTGTCACGCCTATCCCTGCTGGGGTCGCGAGGGGTGCTGGTGTCTATCTGCAGCTGTCTATGGGCGAGAGGCGGGGTCCACCCTGGACAGGTTGCCAGTCCATCGCAGGGCAACACAGAGACAAACAGGACAGACAGCCATTCAAACACACATTCACCTAAGGGGAATTTAGAGAAGCCAATTAACCTCACAGTCATGTTTTTAGACTGTGGGAGGAAGCCGGAGTACCTGGAGAGAAGTTACACATGCTCAGGGAAAACATGCAAACTCCATGCAGAAAGACCCTAGGCCGGAAGAGCCAGAACCTTCTTGCTGCAAGGCACCAGTGCTACCCACTGCTTCACTGTGCAACCCATCTCTTTGCCTATTTAACCATTTTCTTTAAAACAGAGCTACTTAACTCTCTCGTTGATTTTTCTTCTACATTTATTTTAATAAAAAGATGTTGTAAAGCATTTTGTTAGATAATACTGTAGGAAACCCTTTTTTTGAAATTTAACATGATTTTACTGAGATGTATTAAATGCCACACTTAAATTCTACAGTTGTTTTCAAAGGTAGTTTAATTCGTAAATCAGAATGTTGACAAAACAACAAATGAATTTTAGAAAATTTTATGTTCTTAAGCTCACTTAAGGTCAGCATTGGGCGTGAGGCCAGAAGCGACCCTGCAACAATCTATGATGTCCTGCAACACAAAATAATTAAAGCTAAAAAAGGAAAATCTACGTAGCAAACCTTGCAGCTTGCAGCAACTAGGGAGCATCGCAGGGTAAATGGTTCTTACTCAGGGACACAGTCACAGTCGGAAGTTTGAAGCATAAACGTTACGCCCTCGCTAGGACTATGCCCTGCTATCTGACCACAGGGCCACCACTTCCCATATTATCCGTGTACTTTGTGGCATCTGAAAACAATCTACGATAAAACAATTGTCATACTGTATATAGTGTAGGCCATAGTGATGGCAGCAGCCTTATGTTGGGATGTTTTTCTTCAGTGCAATTTGCAACCCCTCACAAGCAGTGCCATTAAAATGAGAGGTCATGCTTAATATCAGGCTGTTATTTTTTGAGTTTGTTATTTGTTTATGTTTTTCCTCAATAATTTATTATAGCTCCATTATGTATAAAATTAAAATGTACAGTCTGATAGTTTCATTTTTTTCAGATAAATGGATGTCGACACACTCTCCAGAAAACTAAGCCAATCTATCTCAGGCATAATTAAGGCTGAAGTGGCAATGCCAGGAATGTTTGCCATTTCTTCTCTTTCGTTTCCGACAGATTCTCATTTTATGATTACTCTCTCAAAGTAATAATTGCTGCACATATTTCTGAAATGGATGGAATGCAAGGCAATTAGTTTTAATGATGTGCAAGAGAAATCTGCGCGACAGCAATTACTGTGACAATGTGTTCAACAGCCCAGAGGCAGGACTCCCGAGACAAACACAGATAGGCAGTGGCACTGTATGACACTGCAGTGCATGCTGCATGTGAGGCCATATGTCAAGCCCAGAGTCACTGACCTGTCAGCTGTTATCAGTAAAGGTAACATATTTGTCTCCTGTCAATACTGCACCTCTAAGATAAACATGCATTATTAAACATAAAACATTTTTATCAGCTCTTGATTGTTTCTCATAGTAGCTGGGAGAGTTTTATTGGACGAACTCTCACATTTCACTCACATTTCACTCGCATTTCAACATAATATCCAAGGAATCTGTGTCCTATTGATCCAGAGCTGCATCCAAAACTTGATCTAGAGCAGACCTTGGGACAATTCAACAGCATTTAGTCAGCCCATGCTTTATGTGGTATTTGACTTCTTTCCAAAGCAAAATACATGCAACCTCTACTTTATCCCATAACAGAAAATTTGGATCACATATCGAGTTGTACAATTCCCAACCCCTCTATTTAAATGTTTACAATTCATCAAAAAAAGGGCAAAAAGGCAATACTTAAGAAAATAAGATGATTGGATGAATCAAGTTTGCTTATTTTATTCTATTATTTGGTCATAGTCGGATAATCTACAGTAAATGGGAGTTTAATTCAAAAGTGGATGGAAAACATATTTGACCTTTGATTTTAAGAGTCATATCATAACAATGTGACCAGATTCCGTAAAGCAATGGAATAACAGGAAGTGTGCAGCAGGTATAAAGTACTGTTTCCAACCAGTGCAATCCCTGTTGGCTGCCAGTTAGATCCGTGGCAGCGTTCCTGCTTGCGATCTGTCACTGTTCACAGCATCTGTGTCAATAGCATTCCATAGCTGTTGACAGAGCGCTGCTGTTTGCTTTAGCCACCGCAGACCACTGGCCTAATGTAGTGTTTGAGGACAGTGTCATAAATCCTCAAGTGCTGTAAGCTACATTCATTGGTGACGCTAGGTCAGCCTGCTTGTTTTAAATAGGGTGCCACAGTGTCTTTCCTGATTTAAAGTAAATGGAGTGCAAAGGCCGGCTCTCAGTGGGGCTTGTGGAGAGATGCTGAGTATCTTTATTTCAATGTAAGGTAACTTAATCAGTCTTTGATTTCAGACAGTTGATAATATATTATGCATTAGCTTTGTTTGAGTTCCTTATAAAAAAATATTATTTAGTAACTTAAACATTACATGGAGCACTGTTTAATCAATCGTGACAACAGAAAGAGTACAGTAAATATATCACCCTAAGACATGGTCTTACTCTATATTTAAACTGCCAGGCTAAGTTAAAAGGAGCAAATATCCGGGATGCATGTCCAAGGTAACTTTGGAGGAGCTTACAGACAGACACTTGATGATGAAGTATTTGCTGTATTAGCACCCCTATTGTGAAACATGGTAGTGGCAGCAACATGCTGTGGGAATGCTTTGCTTCTCCAGGATCAGAGATGTTGCTAAGAGCTGATGAGAACAATTAATGGAATTTATAAAAGGAAATGTTTGAAGGAAACATCCCATGATCCCATGTAGATCCCATGTATTAGGCAGCTGTCCTCTAGCCTAATATTACCCAAAAAAACTTGTTTCAGCTAGAAATACAAAAGGCTTATTACTGTGTTAGAAAGTTTCAGTCAAACGCACAACCCTGAAATACACTCAAGAATATTTAGTAAGAATTGGAACTTACTAGTTGGAGATGTTCCCAATCCAGTCTGATTGAGCAACAGCTACTTAGCAAATCTTTTTTTGCAACTCCCTCCTCTCCCTTTCTATTTTCTCTTTCTCTTTTACTTTTTTTTTTTTTTTTTTATCTCTATGGCCATTGGACCCTAAATAATGTCTAATAAAAGTCTTTACATACACATGTATATCAAATGGAGCATTGTAAGAGAAAGCCATAATTCTCCCATTAAAGTAAATCTTTTAGTCTTCTTCTTGGCACCAGTAAAACTTTTTTTCAGTGCTAGTCTGCTAGAAAGGACACACACTCACACACACACACATCAAAATAAAAAAGAAGAGATCTTCAAAACAAAACAAAATACCTAAAATTTTCCAACATTTTAGTTTAGATATGCAAAAATTATTGAAATGTCAAAAGACTTGCAGCAGTAATTGGACAGTAATTGCAGCCAAAGGTGGTCCTATAGAATATTAATTCAGGGTAGATTAATGCACATGCATCTTTGTTTTTGTATATAATTTTTACATAAGAAAAAGTTCAAGCTGTTGTTTTTTTTTTCTGCAGGCCACAGTGCAAATACATATTAATGTAGTTGATGAATGCACAGTTTTATCCCAAAAAAGACCCACACCTGCCTCAAGGTTAAAGTAAATTAGCGTATAAGTTAATGTCCTTCCAACTGAAGGTATCTGATCCTCATGAAGCACAGACAGCTCTCCCCGCCATGTTGGCTTTTCTCAGTCAGCCTTAAGCAAACAGATATAAATTTTTGTGCCATTTTATGATCTGTGTTTTTATGGCCTGTTTTTAGGCTGCCACTCGTTATAGTGAAAGAACGGGCTTAATTCTTGATCAGAAAAAAACAACAACTGACAGAGTGAAAATGCCAGCAGCACTAAAGTAATCCACAAGCTTGTTTTACTGTTTTACCTCCTGGAGAATTAATGTAAGTGCTCATATACATTTAGACTAAACAAGGCTGGTTAAAATCTCAGCAGTGATTGAAGGAGACAACCTCAGCATGCTCCCTACAAAATGGAAAGCATTAAACAAGAGGCCCTTTTATTGAATCAATTCAATATGAACCGCTGTGCTATGATCAGGAAAAGTCATTTCTCCTGCTCCCTCATATAAGGGGACCATATGTTACAGCGTATGTTGCTGAGAACCTGATCCCCCTCTTTGCTTTCTCTCCCCAGCCGACTGCCAGCCCCCCTGTCAGAACCGCGGCTCCTGCAGCCGACCGCATACCTGTGTGTGCCGCTCAGGCTTCCAGGGGCCCCGCTGTGAGGAGGTGGCCCCCGAGCAGGTGTACATTCGTGAGCGAGGCGCTTTGAGGCGTATTCAGCCTGGCACCAAACCTTTCCAGAGAGACCTACCACAGAAAAGGCCCTCAGAGAGGCAGGTTGCTGACACCATCAAGGTACAGACCCCGCGACCAGTGACCACCAAGCAGCCTGCGTAAGTAGCTCCTCAGCTGTTTCCTGTTATACCCAGAAGGGTTTACTTTTTTATTATATATTATTAGATTATTAGATGAAGTGCCTTTCCAAAATCTGTTACGTTTGCTATTGATAAACTTGTTAAATTTGCTTCCTAAACAAACTGTGTTTCTTCAATGCAAGAAAATCTACATATAGGAGCCATTCTACTAAAATCGACATTTTTTTTATTGCTGAAATTGGCTGAACATTTGTATTTTCATTTGCTCTTAATCGGTATGGATTCCTTTTGATCACACAAAAAACAATGAACAATGAAATTTCTTCTTATTTTGGAAAATATGTTTATTTTTCTAGCTACAATAACTTTGTATACAAGGCATGCTAAAAAACAACATATACCCTATGAAAGGAGAGATTTTTGATCTACTAGTACTAAAGGACGCTTGCAGACATGATCCGCTTGTGTTGATTTTTACAAATTACAGATAAGCCTTTAAGATTTCTAGCATTGGAAAAATGAAGCTTACAGGTACAAACAAGACAAGTATGAAAAGATTTTAGAATTAAATTCTACCGCAGAAGACAAAAACATATCCCAGAAGGAAAAAAAAGAAAAACACTATATTTATAAAAGGGCACACTCAAACAACAAAGGAAAAAACAAGAGCCAGTTTACTGAGAGATAGAGAAGCTGCACAGATAAACATAGTTGTTGAAAACACTTCCAGAGCAGGTAAAAAAAAAAAAAGCTGTTGCAAACAGTCATTAACATCTGTGCAGAACAGAACATATATTGAGCAGATTAGAAACTGTGCAAATATACCATGGCTGTAAACACTTATTAGACTTGTAGTTAGCAGGGAAGGTTATAATGTCTAACAGCAGCAATGGGATCTGCAGAAGTACTTTTTTTTGCCTCTAGCGTGCATCTGTGTTTTACTGAAGGAGCCTGCAGGTTTTACAGGAGCTTCAAACAGCATTGGGTGGGAGACATTTTCAAATAGTGATATTAAAGTGTTATTTTTCTTACTTTTCCTCTATCTCATACCACCTATAAGTGCAGAGTCAGCTGCCTGAATTTTTTTGATTCATCCTTACCTATCATGAGACCCCATATGACAGAGTAATTCGAGAACTTCTGAAGGTGGCAGTCTGGGGAGTTTATGAAAAAGCGAGCAGAGTAGAGGGTAAACAGCAGTGGTGCCAGCACAGTTCCCTGTGGTTCTCCCCTGCTGCAGACCAACCTGTCAGAAGGAAACATAGCCGCATGTCCTCATACTGCTGATGACTAGTGAGGTAATTAGTATCCATTAGTACAGATGGTAGTCAACTTCTGGTAGTCCTGTTGTAAATAATGCTAAAAATACTGAAAGTATTGAAAGGATTGACAGTGATCCTTAATGCTTTCAAGCTTCTCCAGTTGGATGAGAGCTCAATGCAGCAGGCAGAGGCATCCATCAACTAATGCCAAGAAGGCAAACTGCATTGGATCTAATGACGACATTGCCACAGCTATCTTTGAAAAATAAATATAAAAACAGTCTCGATGTCTGTTTCCTGGACAATTTAAATCTATACTGAAATTATTCTAGTCTGTGCTTATTCAGAAAATCTTTACTAGAAAGAAGAGATTAAAAAAAAGAATTTATTTCTAGTGAAGTTGTTGAAGGTTCAGTAACCTTTTTATACTGCTTCTTATATATGATATATATTACTTCATTTCTTATACCCTGCTGATAATGTAATTAGCAAACTTTCATTCTTCATTGAGTTAAAGTATTGGGTTGCTGACTGGCCTGAGAGCGCTCAGGGTGGATCAACCCTTTTAGAAGAATGGCTGGAAAAAATGTCATTGTTGAAAGAAAATGTTAAGAAATGCCATTTTCATCTTGCCATCTTACACTTAAAATGAAATTAAAAAGCTATATAAAGCAAGCAATCCTTAGCTGCTTAAAAACAAAACAATTTGTGAATTTTTCTTAGCTTTAATTTATGAAATTAAGGAAACTTTAATGCCTTACCAGACAGACTTATTATCTCATAATGCTTGAGTTTTTAACTGCTTCAGATTTGTGCATTTATTTTTTTACTAATAATTGTCCAGACAAAGGTCTCTTTCATCGTGGTCAGCATATTCTCTATAGACTGCTGATCAGACAAGCTTAATAGCTCCTTGGCCTTCATGTCTGACTGTTAAAGATATAGTCTTGTTGAAAATTGCTTTTTTTGGTTTGATTAATGACTTTTCCACGTTCAGAGCTGTATTTCCGATCAAGGAAAAACCGAGTAATTGATTCCGGGGGTATTGTGATGGATTCATATTGCTTGCAAGTCTGGACTTATCTTGTCAATTTTGACTCTATTTTGGAACTAGGCCTATTGCTTTTCCAGTTGTTTAAATGCCAAAATGTATTTGGGTAGTGAGATCATAATTTACTAATTTTCAATCATATTTGACATTTATGATGACTCTCTGGCTAATTAGCAAAGTTCTTATGTCATTTTGAGCCCTTGCTGGTGTTGTGGAATGATGATGGCAAAGCACCCACGTGTTTGTGGTAGCTCAGTGAAACTCAGCTGAATATTTTGGCACCCACTTCACAAAAACTCATTTTCTACATCCTCCTTCCCAAAACAATTATCCCCAAGTCATAGTAAATCTTCTAATCAATACAAGATCTCTGGAGAGTGCACAGTTGCTATGCATATGTTTTCTTTGTTCTTGACTCACAGGACATATTTGTGTACTGAGTCATGGGTCTGGGGTAAATACAAGAAGACCGGACTGCAGGCTCAATGCTGCAAGGAGCAGACAGTGTTCCTGAATCACAAATACCACCACAATGACTGTGTTAGTTGTCATGTTTTTCCTGAAGCTGACTAATCCCATTGACCGTCCGGTTCAGTCTTTCTAACTAACTCAAGATAGACTCCAGTAATCAGTGTACTTAATCATTTTCAGGTCTGAATAAAAACTCCCGCTTAAATTGCCTTCACTGCAACATTAATCTGTATTTTATTGGAATACTTGCCTTGCTCTTTCCAGTAAGTTATTGGAGCCATGGTGAACTGCTGCAATTTCTTTTCTTTTGACATTCCCTTGGTTTAGCACGATCTTCCGGGGGGGAAACCATGCTCCCTTGAGGTACAGAGAGGATACAACTCTTGGTTTCAAATATCAAGTTGAAGATCCATCTTTGCAAAAGCCTGGAAAGCATGAGCGATGTGAGGACGCAGAGACCAATAACCAGAAGGCAAAAATAAGTGCCAGGATCTAATAAAGGAGTCAGAGAAGAGAGTCCATCTCCCAACTTTTTTAAGGGGCAGATGTTGTCCCATATATTCAGATATCGTTTTTATTCAGTCCTGGAAAAAGTAAGAGGCATGCATGCCAGAAAAATAGGCCCATAATGACAGCAGTACCTTATGAGCTGCTCTGCTTGATAAATGGTATTAGGTCATTTACAATAAATGGAAAAGAGAAAAACAAACAAGCGGGGAGAGAGTGGAAGGATGTCGCTCAGGAAGAAACATTTTGAGAAAATAAGCTAGATGTTTTAATATTTGCTGCTGATCCCATTTACACTTACTGCAAATAGGAGTTTTAATCAAGATTTGAAGGAATTATTTTCTTGGGAATGACTCCTTTTTTTTTGCAGAACATTTCAACAATGTTTTACTCAGTGTGATACAAAAAGTAAAAGTTTACTGTTATGCATGGAGTACTTTTTCTAAAGAATGGAGCATAATTTAACATACGGTTTTCTCTGTGGTTGGCTGCAAATACTGCTTGACTGATTGGTGCTTTTGATTTATCTCCAAGTCCTAGAAGCTACAGGCAACTAAAGAAAAGTTTAGGAATGAATCGGACTCTTTCCTAACCAGACACACCTCCAAAACAGGGTTCACAGAACGTAACATAAAAACCTCAGCATAAATATATTACAATTCTCTTTTATTATCTAAGAACTTCCAAATCAGTTTCTGCCCTGACCTGTTTAAGGTTCCCATCCTTAGTCCAAACATAAATATTCCATCAGCCAGGAATCATGGAGTGAATTACAACACAGGTCCGGAAGGGAGTTAATACATGCAAATATAACATATGAGGTATTACTTATACTGTATGTACAAGTCCTATGAGATTCTGAGTTATGAACTTAAACACTAATCCCAGTGTCCCACATTTCTTCTCTGATGGGATTTGAAATCTTAAATGAAGTATAACAATCATCTTTACATCTGGCCGACAAATAGCATTCTTCTCCTCTGACTTAAACACATCTTGTGATTCCTAAGGTTAGCAGTAAAAGGTTTGGGAACCCTGTGAGCTCCAGATCCTGTGCAATCCAGTCTGAAGGTCAGGGTTAGTGGTGGATACTCCTTGTTCAGCTAAAACTGTGATAATTCACACAGGATGTATTCACCACCTGAGCCCTCCATGTCATGTCCACTCACCCCACTGTTCTTTGACATTAGCGCTCTGCAGGAAACAGAAAAGGGCAGAACAGGATGTGTCAGCCTGCTAAGGTCATCTCTGTGGTCTTGCTTACATAATCATACTCAGGACGGCTGCCAGCAGGTACCTGGCTAGCAGAGCTGTTGCAACAGAGAAGGATGGTGTGATTTTGCATCAATTCACCCGGATTCACTGAAGTTAGAGCTGCAAGTTCTAAAACTCAAATTTTTAATAGCACCTGCAAGGCCAAATTGAGAGAGTGCAACAACAGACATTACTCTCATTATAGAGTGGATTTATATCTGGGCTTTGAATAGGCCTTTCTAATTTATGCATATTTTATCTAAACCATCTCGTAGGTTCATTGTTTTGGAATCTATTTGCAGTTTCAGGTAACATAGAGCCTTTAACAAGTTTACTTCCTTGTTTTCCCTATAACTAGCAGATTCTATTGTCCCATAAATTCAGATCTGCTTCCCTGCTGCAGCTGTAGAAAAGCGACTCTATAATGATGTATAGAGCATTTAGGGTGAGCTGTTTAGTTATTGGCTGAACTA